TTGACGGAAAAAAGCATTTGGGAACATGATGGCTTATGCGTGAAATTACCTTTAAGAGGGTTTGGACACTGTTACGCAGTCGTTATTTTCCATTAATGTTTTGACAATATAGACCTATACTCAGTGATGGTCAGCAATGAGTTTCAATTGATTTCAGGCATTTATTGTCGAAAATATTTGTTGTATAAATTTAGCAGAGTACAATTGCCCTGGTGAGCTGTATTGATACTCCACCGCCGCAATACATGTAGGCACACGTGCACACATAACTCACCAGTTGGTTAACACGCTCAACTGAAGCGAGAATACAGCATACAACAGCCCCCACTGAATCGTTTCGAATGACAATCAAAAATGTCATGGTTGCACTAAACATTCAATGTAGACATGAAGTATTTTTTGAAGTGATCAAGTAATCACAATCTATTATCAATTCCCGTTATGTAGAGGCCCCGTGGGAATATTTCCAGTTTAATTTTTGCCGCTTTTGCGAAAATACATTTGTTTCAAAACCAACATCGGTAAACATACTCTGTGATTTGAGGACCTCAAATTCCTCGGTTCGAATCCCTCTGAATCAGGCGTATAAACCGTTTTCTTTTCTTTGTTCTTCCTTTTCATTTTACTTCCTTTTTTTGTGAATACACAATGATACAATTTTCAGGAAGAGGGAAGCGGCCAATCAAAGAGCTGTCATATAATACACAAATGGAGAAAGACAGGCGGTGGTGGTGGGATTCGAATACACGTCCTCCGGGGTGATAATTTGGTGACGTTACCACCGGGCCACCACCGTCCACTCACTGCCTACTGAAAAGATTTCATCGCCATTAGGTGCAGATTTTCTCATCGTCAGTAGTGAAATCAATAAGGAATTGGGACGTCAACCAGTCAATCACTGTCAGACAAAATCAGAGATGATAATGCCGAATTCTCAAAGATTGGGGTCTNTCTGTGCAGTTCTGGTGTATCATAATTCTTGGAAGCATGTTTCAATGCACTAATTCTGCCTCTTACTGTGTACATTTATTAGAATGTTTATACTGAAATTATTTTTCAGGGAAAGTTTAGTGATTGTACGCCGTTAACCAACATTTTATTAGCAGAATGTACTGACACAATCACAGATATCTTCCACGGCTCTAACGTGACATCAGGGATCAGAGTTTCTCCTTCTCTTGCTCTCTGATGAAATGTGGATGTGATGGCCAAGCGTTATAACGTCATCTCCTAGTTGGGACTGCGCAGCAAGGCATATATTTTTGTTGGTGATAACCGTCGACCGTGTAGCTCAAGGGTAAGGGTTTGAAGTCCCAGCCCGAGTAAACGCGGTTCGAATCCTGACACAAAAAGTACGCACTGCTGTCAACTGCCAAACAGGGCGGAAAAGCTGTTTAGTGCTCTTTGTTGATTATCACAAACATTTTCATCGCACTTGAATGCATCATCTCATTGGGAATCAACCGTTTCCAAAAGAGAGAAGCCCACACCCAAGACCAATAAGAGTGCCTGGTGCCTCTGAAAAATCGAAGGGGCCAATCCAAGCTTGATACTCCAAACTATTTTTAATGGTTCACTCCATTTTTCTGTTTGATTTGGTAATTTATCTGATTACAGGTAAAGCAGTGATTTAGTTGCTGTCACAGGCGTGCTTTGGACCCTATATGGTCCGAGGTTCGAGACTCGTCACTGCCACTCAGCTTTGGTGGTAGGCGGTTTGACTGTCATCTTGTGCATTACCACGCCTACCCTAGGGGAGGCCTTTTGTGGTTCGTCATTCCAAGTCCCGGGGCTTAGATCACCAGTTTCCATCACTGAACGGCAGATCCTCATGACTTTGGGGTTCATCCCGTCTGTTGTTCATCACACAAAAGTGTGCACTAAAAAAATCGATAAAAGTAGAATCATTTTCCGTGTATGGAATGCGGAGAAAACAAACAATGAGTACTCTTCGAATGCTTTTCGTTTTTGAACGATCCGATGAAGCGTGTTATGTGCTGCTTTTCTTTACTCGACGACGGCTAAGTGAACTCTCGGACAAAATGCAGCATCAGTGTTTCTGTGTGAACAGTGCAAACGACCTAATACTCTGACGCTTTCTTAATAAAAATATGTTTGTTAAGTGATGTTGATCACAATCCTCTGCAACCTATGCTTCTGCATTTCTTGACCAAATGTTATTGATGAGTCAAACTGTAGGATGCTCGTGTATAATTGCATAAATATGACCCAGTATGTATTATACAAATCTTTATATTTGGCTTCTTTATTCAAATTGGTCACGGAAAACTCTGCTTCCAATCAGTCTTTTCCAGCAAACTGGGTAGACTGAATGCATCACATTTGAATCAGGGAACCAAACGATAATTATCAGTAAGGTGTTTTTAGGCATACTTTTAGCGTGTGCATCCAGCAGTCTAAAAATGTGTGCCGTCTGATTTCATAACTAAGCTTCCTGATGCCAAATAAGAGTATTGCATATATAATGGCGATGAAACAGGTGGAATTCACCTAAAGCTAAACTAGTTCTATTTGTTCTACCAACTAACTCAACTTATGAAGGAATAAAAGCAAGCTCATGATCAAAGACCAGTAAACAATTGTTTTTTTGGGTTTGATCGACTGTTTCAATATATTCTACAGTTGTCCCAGTAACCTGCGTAGACGAAAGGTTACATAACCATGATGCGATCGATAGATTGTTTCGGTTGAATAGCCATTTCACGGGAAAGATTCCACGAACATAAGAAAACGAAAAAGTTTCTGAACTGCTGTTAAATAATTTGTGAGTGCTTCAGAGTGCCGTTCTTTCTCCGAACGTTCTCCATACCAGGAAAGACCATTGAATTTGCGGCAATTGTAGAATTATTCTGAGGTATCATCACAAACTACTCGGTAGGACATTATTTTCAGAGAGTTTCCACAAATGCGGATCAACTTAATTTTCAATTGAACGCTTTCTAATACTTTGAGTACCTTTTTCAGTCTTTCAAGATCTAAGTATTTGCTTCAATCTTCGATCTTGACCTCTGTTTCCGTAACTATCCAATAACTAGGAACGTCATGAAGAGCAAACTGCAGTGGTCTTTCTATGTGCAAATCTGCGTTGATAAACCACAGTACAATTCTTTCCAAATCAATGAACTTGGATGATCATGCGTAAGGCATTCAGCTGTTGGATCTTTTTTTCATCAGTCAGATAAGACTTATACTTTTTCCTATGATTTTGTTTACAAGGCACTAGATGGACCTCCGGGCATCTGCTCAATCTTGATTTACTTACCTGTTGTTATCATTTCATCAACATATCCCATTGTCGTTGTTTAGTATCGCGAAAGAAAAACATGCATCTCTATAGTGAATCCCTCTTCGGAATAGGTTTTTGCAATGTTCTTTATAGCGCTCTAATCCGTTTTTACCCTGTAAAACGGTGCTCGATTACTAAATTGTAGGCACAGCTGAATGGACCGTCAAATTACATTACACAGTGGAAGCAAGTTGATGTCCCTGTGATAATCGATGCGCGTGCAGTGTGTCGCCTGGCTGCCTGAGGGAAAACGTGGGGGATTATGCAATCCGATTGTGACCAGACGGTCAAGGAAGGCTCAAACATAATATAAACTCCTACTGTGTGTAAACTGAAAGTTATAGAAAAGGACTGCTGTTTTCTCGGCTGTTCTTAGAATTCGCAACTTCAAACGTTTCCAGAATTTCCCCCCGGGCAAACTGGTTGTATGAAAGGATCCACTTATTAACTGGTAACTGTACTCTGTATTTGTTAAGACGTTTTCCTTAGAACAGACAGCACAATTATCCAGACTCACACTCAACTTCTTATGCCCCACAACGGTTATATGACTACNCTACAACCGAAGGAACTCTTGCAGTAGCATCGTCTGACGAAATCTATTCATTCTCCATATATATTTAGTGTCAAATAAAAAGAGTGAAGCATTCATCTCCAAACCACTCCATATCCGAACTGTTGGTTGTCATCTAATCTATTTGTCTGACAAATCCAAGGAGACGTTGCATTTAGTTGCGGTGTACATCACCGTGTGACTATCAGAGGTAGGGGTGAACCCTATAGTCCAAAGCAACAATTGTTCATTTAATGCAATCAGTAACCTAGTCGGAGTTGAACTGCATAAAATTCCCTCCTATGAAAAGTATGACAATGATCCAGTCCTCATACAATGTGTTTGATTTTAGCTCAACGTCTGTAATTGTTTGATTTAAACAGAGCCATCAGATTCTTCATCAGTTCATGCTGTACCCTGTGTCACAATCCTAGAATCAGGAGTAAGAGGTATCCGTATTTGATTTATCACACAGTCATTTAAGAAATGTCTCTCTTTATCAGGAGTCTTTCGTGTGACATCCATGAACTCTCAACCAACGACGAGGAATGGGCCTAAATGAGAAGGTTTCACTCCCAATGGGACAATGAAAATTTACTCGTCTAGAGAATGGGTAAAAAATGAAATAATCTAATACTATAGTTCGGGGTAAATAACAGAAAAAGGTTCCGGTCCAAGTGAATTGATCAAAAGCCCTCGAACTATGTGAACAAGCTCAGATTGAAAAGAATTATTCTTCAAAATTTAACGGATTCAATCACACCCAGCTTGTATTCCAAAAGAACATCAGGTGTATGCGATTGGAGATGTTGATCACAATAAGTTCAGCAAGCACACATTGGATGAGATGTACAGGTGATGAATAAAAAACATTTCGAAGTGAGGGGAATTTTTAGAAACACTTTCTTTTCTACAACATGCTTTATACTTTCTGGGTGTCTGTTAGACCAGTGCATCAAAACGTGAAAGAGCATCTCCCCACATGGTATCAGATACAGTATGCAACAATATTGTCGATTAAATAGATTCAAGTGACTAATGTATGACTGTACACTGTAATGCATTTTTGCAGTCGGTTGTTATGTTCACTAGCATGGATTTAAGTGAGCTCTCCAGTTGTTGTTGTACTAGGGAGATCGCTCAAAACTCACTAGATCGTAAATCATCTAATGAATAGCTTCTTTCTTTTGTACAGTTTATCACACCTCCCAAACATGCGTCAGATCCTCGCACGTCATGTTCAGTCGTGATGGGGTTTGTCTTGTCCACAATGGGAAGGGATAGTTTACCTTGCATTATTCGAGCATAGTGCCGCTTCACTTCTTCAATTTGTCGGTTTATCACAATTTTGGCATCTTCCAATATGGCTAGTTCATTATGCAACTCCCACCGAGCATCACTATCCCCAGTACAACCAACCCCGACGAATTGATCCACTTTGGAGCCTAGTGAGAATTGTAACAGTGATTCAATTTGCGCTCTTGTGCGCGATTGAATTAGTTGCGTACGTTCTTCCGCCTCCAGTGCATCTTGAATCACAGCGCAAGAGAACACATCGTCCACACTGATACCGGGTGTTACATTGGTCTGGCTTTGCTCATCCGCGCTGACCACAAAAGCACTCATACCACCCCCAGATAAGAATTCATCACTACTGGGAGTGTACGCATCTGTTGTTCCATTTTGATTTATTGTACTCGAATATAACATATCCGGTGGGGATTGCGTCAAATAACGATGTGCTACACGCCACCTTGGATCCCCTTCTTCTGGACTGCNGTATTCCCTTGATGGCAGTGTCTTCTAGCCCGCAGAATATCGTCACTGCGCATTGGAGACACTAATGGTACCGGTTTAGGAGCCGGTGATGGCGGGGGATCAGTGGACAAATGGAAGCAGGTGGGAGTTGGCTGGGGTGAGGGTGTGCGCGCAGCGGATGTGATACTGAGTAGCCGAGCCGCGGACACCTTATCCGATTCAATGGATATTCCACTGTCTGTCATCATAGATCCATGTAATGGATTCATACAACCTGTATGCTCCGACATACCTGGATAGGATTCATCTAACTCACCAAAAGTTTGTGTCGAATGAGATGGCACAAAATGCCTACTGTGCAATGAATCCAGCATGGTAGTTCGAAAATCGCCTTCGGCTGCCACATGAAGACAAAAAGGACATTGAAGAAATCGGGTCAAGGATTTTGTAAACGGCGGCTGACTTTGGCCTTCAAATCCGGCTAACCAGCATGCATCGTTTGGCATTGCTTTGATCATATAATCGGGTAAGAATGATGGATTTAGAGCTGTCGGTTGTGTAACGGATCCAACGGGTTCCCACGTTGTAGTCATACCCGTCGGTCCGGACTCAGGTAGATAAATACGTGGTCCCATTTCCTCAGGTGCACTGGACTTTGTACATTGGATACAAGACAGATGCTCCAGTCCAGATCGTGAATTCAGGTCAGTTGTAATTGCTGCTCGGCGGAAAATACGACTAAAGAATACCCTGATGGATGTTCCCAGAGTGGGTTTGGTAGTGGACGACTGAGCTGACCTATCGATCGTAGGGTTTCGAATGAAGGTTGACGGTTTCATGATTATCGCCCTGAAGCGAAACAAAAACATTGAACATTGAACCAGTATCCATTTGGTTAAAAGAAAAAAAGCATGTTGATCACAATTAAAATGGAAAATTCCTTGTTAGTTTGTAATTTTATATTTGAGAGTATGATCTGAACAAGAAGATCAACAGTTCTTCTATCATGTACGGAAAATAATAAGTGTGAGAATCATGTTTCTTCGAAATGTGTTGACAGCTTTCTACGGTTTTGCATCCAACCTTTGCCAAAGGATTTAGTGCCCTCCCAGAAGCAAACATTCACGAGACTACGAACTGTACTAATATGGCATTGGGTGAATATGCTAACGACTGAGTCGATATTTCTCTCCTTGGGTGAAGAACAAAAGCAAGATATGTTTCCATTTTCCCGATGTCCGCGCTTCTAACCTGGGCGGGGACGAAACAAACATACCGCAAAAGATTCGCGCCAAGAAAGGCCAACTTTTAAGTGCCAGTTGTTAGCATTTGTATGTTAATTTCATTTGACGTTCGTATGCGTTGAAGTTTCAGGCACTGACATCTTAAACAAAAACCTCAGTATCATTGGTGTCTAGTGAAGTAGAAGGAGCTCATGCATATGGTCAGATACTTTTTGAAGTCCAGATTGGCCAAAAACTCACATCCAAATTATCGATGCCGATAAACCGTTGATGTATACATTCCCATGACACATTAGAGGTTGTTGAGGATTACACATAGTTTTGGTACCAGCGGTACCGAGCTTTATTCAGTTGTTTTTCTGAAATAGTTTGATCTTCACAATAAATCCAAATGTTTTGTGAAGCAGCGCCATGAAATTCACCTTGTTATCACTGAAAACCGAATTCATGTTTTTGTGAACGACCAATGTCGAAACCTGTGTGACAATTCTGACCAAGCTTTGTATAGATTAAATCATATTAGATGGGTTAGTTTCACTAATGCTCACCATTATAATCTGGTTTAGAACCGGGAAAGCCGTACTGCTATATAAGAACTGGCAGTGAAGTTATTGGATACACAGTAAAAATTATCTAATCGTTTAATCAATAATCTGACCAAGTTCACAACAAGCAGTTATTACCAATTTAGCATAACCGTGGAAATAATTATCCCAAAAATATGTTGAATTTAAATGTTTAATTGATTGTTTTTATCAAAATAGTAATCTGTGGGTCCGGATTCCAAACTCCATTACGGCGATCAATTTCCGTTTCTGTATCCCGCCAGATAGGTTTTGTAAAACCCCCGACCGCGTATGTTGTTCATTTATGTGTTCATTGCATAAAGAAGAAAATGAAGGATTTATTCATTTCTTATTAAAGTTTATTTACGTTTATTTTATTCGGACACTTATTGCTTCTATGTTTTTGTCCAACACCAATACATTCACATTTGCACTCCGTCGAAAAAGAATTCTTGATAGTTCAGTGAGGCTAGAATAAATTTAAATTGGCTCAAATTGGATTTAGGCGGAGTTTTGCAAACGCTCAAACCATTTTGTACGTATCATGTTGGAAAAAAATATGTCGATTGTTTTGGGTGTAAAATAGACTGTAGATCTTGTAGCCCAAGACCCTCAAAAGTACCTGTGAACAATGGAATGAATTAATCAAATTTATAAATTGTTAACTGCCTGAAGGATTCGCACAGGGCAATAACTGTCGACCGTGTACTTCAGGCGTAAGGATTTGAATTTATGACCCGAACGTTCACTGTTTGAGTCGTGATAAGGACACTACTGACGAATCACAAACAGGACGAAACACCTGTCCAATCCTCTTTATCGGTGATTACAAAGATTCCCATGGCTTATAATATAATTTATTATTTCAATATGTTTGATTTATTAATATCAGAGAAAAATAAAAATCGGAGGCTGAAATTGCAATCTTCTCAACATTTTTGTCCTTTATTTTACTTTCTTTGATTACAAATGTATATAAGGATAAAAATTTTCAGGCATAGAGAAATATTCAAACAAATTGTTGCCATAAATCACCCAATGAACAAGGAGTAAACGGTGGGGAAGGGATTTGTGTACATTTCCTCCGAGACGATAATTTGGTGGCCTTACCGTTTGAGCACCATCATCACTAAATCTGGCCTCAATATAAATTGATCTTTAATAATAATAACAATTTTAAATACGTTTAAGTTAAATGGGAATTGTGGCTATTGCACCCGGTTTTGTATAAACACTGTTAGAACACACACACACAATGGTATGTTATAATTAGAAATTACCAGTTTCATTCCAGTAGTCACTAGGCTAGGTGTGTAATCCTACACCAATATGTTTGTTGTGAATACTTCATTCCTAGCGGCAATAAAATATAACTAGAACACTGAAATATCGGGTTGATCTATATCATGAAGAATTGGATTGAAATGAAAAGTATCCACTTCAACACATCATAATCACTCTCTCCCGCGGGAGCATTTATAAAATCAATGAATGGAACACATAGTTTGTTATGGCCGAGCGCTAAATGACTGAAACCAAATCAATTCCCGGATTGAGGGGGGAAATAACGAAGATCGTGGATTTAAAACCGACCATACGCAACAGGAATCATCACTTCAATGATAAATTATCTCGATCCGAGTTTGGCAGTGCATGCCAAAAAGTATTGCGCGAGTAAGGTTGAAAGAGGAATTTTCAAAAATCAATACCCGTGTTTGCTCAGTAGAGTGTTATATTACATGTAAGCATTCATGTTACTGGCAAGACCTTGAAATCAACGGTTATTGGGTCCAACGAGATGGAAATGATTGTTTCCATTTCACGTTAGAAACATCCATTTCTCACCAGTTAAATTTATCCATTAATTAAATGGTAACAACATTCTTTTCAAAGAGATCCATAGCTTAGTAATCACGTTTGTAAGATTAAACACAACTTAATCACTTAGTGAGAGTAACCTAGTTTTGAAATTACTATTTAAAAATAATTTTTAAGTTCCTTCCGTCAACAGGTCGTTGTAAAATCAATTACTGGTGAGAAAAATTAGTTGACAAACTATATGAAATTCGTGCAACGACCAGATGCGTATCATTCAACTGGTGGTGTTGGAAACCGGACAGGCGACCTCCATGGTGAATTTAGATCATTGAATCACGTTTATCAAAAGCGTGTCACTGCGTCCCATGTGAGCCGCTTTGTTTCACTTCCAGATCGAAATAGTGCAAAATCTCAAACGTTTACTATCTTCCGAAAATGTTAGTTTTGATGCTAAATGCCGTAAATAATCTTACACATAATCGCCATTTCTTTACCATTCATAACTATTATTCGGTCAGTTGTAGTCCGCTCATTTAATGTGGTATGCATATTCCGTAGAGAATTGATACTCTGTTAGTGCAATCAAAGTTACTTGAGGATATTAAATACACAGTTGATTCAATACTTTATCCAAAAGTACAATTTTATTCCCAGATTTTACAATCCCTTAAAATGCTTCATCATAGCTCGATACATGTTATTTTCTACCGAAAAATGCTATTTTATGTGCAAAAGAAAAATGATAATCTTACGATACAAATCCAAGTGAACCTAGTTAGATTTGGCATTGTTACCTGTCTTTTGTTTTCGGGGTATTAAACAACCTTGGGGTAAAAACGAATTGTTTTGGGGGCTAATTTTATGAAATCGAGGGGTTAAAAATTAGTGACAAGTGTGAATCCGATTGTGTACGGTACATTGTCACAGCCGGATATTCCAAACCGCAGGAAACTCTGTAATGTGCGTTGCACCGGCTCAATGAAACAAACGCTTTTCTGGTTTGTTTCAAAGAATCAGACAATTCAGTTTATTTAGTCAGCTGAGCTGCATATTATGTTTGCTTTCCGTTCTATGAAGAATGTATATTGACTAAAGCAATTTTTCGTCTGATTGGATGCGTTTCTTTCAAATTGGCTATGTAATTAGGTCTATATTGAACCTTACTGGTCTGGAGAATCATGCTTAACTAACAGTTTCGAGGTGAAACCGGAAAACAAGAGTCGCCACTATGGGTATGGCTCAACTGCTGCTATAAGATGAAGGACATGGACGGTTTGCAATTAAGGTTCACTTAATTTGTACAGATCCTTTTCGGGGGATTTTTAGAGTGAGATTATATTTAATATCAGGTGCATCTGGCGTGAGTCCTCACGAGGCCTGTCACTGTACATTGAAACTAGTAAAAACGATTTATATACAGCACTCATTAGACCCGCTTTTAGATGGAAAATACGATGACAGACAATTAGTTCATTCATCAACAGGCAATTCATTTCATAGAGTGTCATCCTCAGACATTCCTTATAGTAAATAAGTAGAGAAATGAGAGCTGAAAAATTAGCAATTTTCCATTGAACAAACATAAGCCTCAGTTTGCCTACCAAACAAAAAAATGCGGAGTTTTAATTTACTTATTTCACTTGGTTCAATACTCTCCTGAGGAGGATGGGTCAATGCATGATCGAATTCTATTGCTGTGTTGATAATTTATCAGATGCGCTTGACATATATAACAATTTCTCAATATTCAACTAATAATTCTTATTCGCCTGTTCACCGAGCTTGGCAGTTTGTTTGCAAACGTTCCATCACCAGTCGAGGTGACATCCTCATTGCACTGATGAAATGTTGGCAAACAGATCACCAAGCTCGGCGAACAGGTGAAAGTGAATTCAGTTTACTCGAAATAATGGAACCGAATTTTAACAATTTGGGAATTGAAATAATAAAAACTAAACAAAACTGGAGAACTTGTTCATAAAGAAGTAACGGACCCCCACTGCTTTTCAAGCTAATGGGTGTTCAACGAAAGCCCTGGGGAATAAATCGTGGTGTTCTAATTTATATTTCCCAAATCAAGCATGGAACGTTGTATATTGTACCCTGTTCTTGGTCGCTGATTACATCACTAGTGCTAGCCGAATACACGTAGCATTTATCTAAATATGGGTGAGCATTCCAATTTACTGTCAGTGACTGAGTAGTTTCATT